CTGAAATGGGAAAGACATGCACAAAGTAAAAGGAATAAAACTCAAGGGAATGATACTTGGTCTGAAATGGGAAAGACATGCACAAAGTAAAAGGAATAAAACTCAAGGGAATGACACGTGGTCTGAAATGGGAAAGACATGCACAAAGTAAAAGGGATAAAACTCAAGGGAATGATGCATGTTCTGAAATGGGAAAGACGTGCACAAAGTAAAATGTTTTCCCATTTGATTTCCTTTACCCATTTTTCATTGTCCTTTCAGGTATCGTCTTGTTCCATTTGGTAACCACTCATACCTTGAGTCATTGTCAGACAAGTCAAGAGAACTACCACTGTATGTACCTGTACAGTTACTTGTAATATTGCTATCGCTTAAGTAGATAAGGTTGATACTTGTTGATGTCTTGGATGCTGCTTAAAACACTCATGAACAATTTATAAGATTTTGGTTCAACTGGAGCCACCATACACGTCACGAACATGGATTTTTATACTTCGATAGAGATTTGACGTCACGGGCATGCGCAACCAGATTCAATAGAAGCTCCCACACCTGGGATATTGCGTGCCAAGGCAAAGACAGGCACGTTAGTCAAAGATCATTAGGGTTGACTATGACCTTGATGAAGCTCTATGTCTTCATCTAAACTTGRATGCATACTTCATCCCTGATGAAGTCATCCTCATAGTATTCGAGTGGTCTTTATATAAAGATCACATGTGTCTTTATATAAAATCACTTGAATACTAATGAAGAGGACTTTATCGGGTATAAAGGTTCATGCACGTGACGTGTATGGTGGCTCCAATTGGACCATAAGCTTATGAATTATTAATGAGTGTTTTAAGAGATTTAGGATCATGATGAGTAATGTTACTGTATGCCAACACAGGTATGGATCCGGTGGCTTCAGGTTTCTGTGGGACACAAAGTAAGTTGTTCTTTTAACCAAATGTGCGCGTAGACTATTAACAAAGTGTTTTTTACTACAGGCCCATTTACTCAGGATAAGCCTTACTTCTGCACCAGAATATTCACAAATACCAATAGTAAACCAAAGAATACACAACTCCAACAATAAAAACACTTTCAAATTCTATGAACCTTCCCTGGAAAACAAGAATATTCTCCAAAATCGAGGCTAATCCTGAGCAACAAACTCCAATGAGTATTATCGTCTACTAAGGTGACATAGTCTGGACATTTGTCAGAAGTTTCAATAATTCATGTCAATGATACAATAGTTATTATCGTTGTCGTTTCTATTTGAAATCAAAACTCTTACCTTCGTACAAAATTCTGGTTATCTCAATTTGTGTTTCTCTACTTGTTTTAGGTTTGATCAAGCCATGGTAGCCTTCTTAGATTGTCTACAACAGGTAATACTATTAATCCTCACAGATTATATTGCGCTTTATTTAAAAAAACCTAGTCACGTGACATGATCATAGGCCGTCATATTAGACAACCAACATTAGAACGAACGAGATCGATGTATCTGTGGTACAGTTACAGAATATTGTTCCAACCAAGTGACAAGAATAGCAAATAGAACCGTAGTTTTTAGTTCGGGCGTTTTTTTTTTCCTGTTTCAAACCTCTTGGTAATAAAT